GGCGGGGTCAAGTCCAATCTACTGCCAAATTACTTCAAATCGATTCATTTTCCAATTGCTTTTCGAAAGGCTCTGTTTTTGGTGCTATCCTCGCACACGTTTGGCTGCCTGTGTGTGTGTGTGTGTGTGTGTGTGTGTGCTGCAAGGAACTGCGCCATTGCCTCGGCCTGGCAGCGACAGGTGGAGGCAACAGCAATGCTAAAGATACTTGGACAAGCTTTGGCGTTGCGTTTTTCGTCGCTGGCTATGAAACAGATAAATTGCAAAAGTTTTTCCAAATATTTTCACAAGGCGCTGCCGCCGGCAAGAGCTCAGGACCCAGGACTCAGGCGCTGCTCCTGCTAAGGACGACGCTCACAAAAAGCGGCAGTCGGCAAAGATTGGGCATTGAGGACGTGGTATAGCCCACAAAAATGGATCGTCTGGCGGGCATAGCGCAAAAATCTGCAATAAAATTTTACCAATAAACTTTAGACACACACCAAGCACACACGCACACACACGCACACACGCACACACATGCCAGCAGATGCGGATGTGTGGCATGCGGATATGCGGATGTAGACAGGTGAAACTTTTTTGAACTATACTAAATTATTGTAGTTGCCGGAAAAAAGTTCGCCTGCCGCTTGCCGCACGCACAACAACAACAACAACAACAACAACAACAACAACAACAACAACAACAGCAACAACAACAACTGCCATATACACTCACACGTGTTAACCCTTTCCTCTAGCTTTGTTGGCGTGTTGGGACGACGACGCACCTTTTGACATGCCCATGGACAGGGCGAGAGCGAGCGAGTGCCGTGGGCCTGTGAGTGCCGTAGGAGTTGCGTTCGCCACAGCAGATAACGCTGCACATATGCGAGCAAGACTAAAGCTATAAAATGCGGTTAACTAATGGCAGGGACTGTAACATCAACACCCCAACGCCCCACCGCCCAAACACCCAACGACCCACCGACCCACCGCCTGCGTGACACCACTCGAATAGAAGGCTTTGCCCGCTGGACCGTGGCAGTTATTAACATTGAGCGGTAAAGGGTTGAGCGGCACGTGCAGAGACTGTGATTTTAACTGTGTGTGTGTGGGCGTGTGTGTGTGTGTGTGGGCGTGCGAGTTGTCTGCAACATTTCATTGCACTCAGTGTGTAGTGGCTTTTGTTGTTGGGTTACATTGGGTTACATTTTTTGCCGCCATGTCCAAAGTGACAAATGTGCCAAACTTGTGCGAATTTCAGGATGCACAATGACAATGCCAGGCGCAGAGCAGCTGCGATAAACCGACCCACCGAGCCACCGAACGATTCACTTCTGTGTTAAGTTTTTACGTTTTCAAGGTCACCGTCCGTCCACCCACCCGTCCGACCGTCCGCTCCTCCTTCCTTCCGTCCGCTCGTCCAAGCGACCTATTGAAAAGTTTGCACTCCCGCACAGAGACTGCAAAGCCCGACACTGAACACCAGAAATATGATGTTTTAGTGAGTTCTCCCATGGGGTAGCTGGCTTAATTTATTGATTCGCTAGCTACGAACTGGCCAGTGCAGTGGCCAGAACTTGTGGACCACAACTTAAATGTGATTTGTGTAATTTGCGGGCAAAGCCAAGTCCGATTGCATTACAACTTATGAGTGTGTGCAGGCCAAGAGCCATTTCATAGGTAATATCTCCGGGTGTGTATCCGGTTCGACTCTTGAACAAACACAAATTGCAACGGGCTTACCTGCAACACGGACTCGGACTCGGACGCTCAGCTCGAAGGGCTGCTTGCTAATAGCTCAGGGTCCGGCCGGAGCATGTGAGACGCTTGTTTTGGGGTGCTGCTTTTACTGCTTAGCAAAAGTTTGGCCACTATCAAAATCAACCAACTAATATGTCTTTCATATAATTTATGTGTGTGAGCCGCATAAAATCCGAAAAGCAAAGTCCACGCCCCAGCAACGTGCGACGGTCGCGGCCGTCAACAAACCAAGTGACACCAACAACAACAGGCGCTCCTTCGCTCTCTCTCGCTCTCTCTCACTCTCTCTGTGGTAAGAAAACTTTCTTAGTTGGCACACAAGGCACGTCCGCCTGTGGATACAATATGTCATTGTGGCTCCCAGCTCCTCGCCACATGAGTGCCGGCACTGGCTGCGGTCCCCGCCGGAGCACTTGGCTTGTAACATGTGTCACTCGCGTCTCGGCTCCGCCTGGCGGTCAGCGGCGCTGCCCGCCTTGGGTAGAGCCGTGTTGGATGGCGGCATGCAGCGCTTGTTGACAGCACTTACGGCCTCAAGTACGGCGCATAAATTTTTGCATTCCGCCAAGCTAATATCAGGAGTTTCGCTTGCCTTTGGCTGCCACCTGCTGCCCGCTGCGTCTTAAGTTACACTCATTGTGTGCGTGTGTGTGTGTGTGTGTGTGTGTGTGTGTGTGTGCTCGCTCAACATGTCACAGTTGGCATGCAAATCCTAAAACAATCACTTAAAGTTATACGTGCGGAAGGATCACACTTGCCATTGTTTCTGCTGATGCTGGCCATGGAACATTTAAGACTCCTAAATGTTTGCGGCTTACTTCATTTGAAGCTATTAGCAGCCCACGTAGCGTCCAAGTGTCCCATCAAATATCTGGAGCTGTGAGTCCCAAATAAATTGTCATTGCTTCAGTTTACGGTTCGCCAAACTTGATTTACTCTGCTTTAGTCCAATTCTGAAATCTGAAATTTGAAATTTGAATTTTTAATTGGATTTCGCCTCTATCTATGTGGATCTATATGATTATGTTTAATGTTAACTATTAAAAACTTGGTTAACGAGCAATTCCTCACAGCATGTCTGTCATCTTCAACAGAAATCTCACAATTTGCAGCCGTATCATGTATTTCCTTCGCGGCTCGTCTCTCTCTCCCCCGCAAAATGATTTTTAATAAAAATGAAATGGCTTTTTTAAAGGAGGAAGTGGCTTTTCGGGGAAATTAACCTATTAAAAATATTCTGAGAAAAATCAAGAAAATATGCTTTAAGTATGTGGCAGACAGAGAGTATAGAGTATAGAGTATAGAGTATAGAGTATAGAGTATAGAGTATAGAGTATAGAGTATAGAGTATAGAGTATAGAGTATAGAGTATAGAGTATAGAGTATAGAGTATAGAGTATAGAGTATAGAGTATAGAGTATAGAGTATAGAGTATAGAGTATAGAGTATAGAGTATAGAGTATAGAGTATAGAGTATAGAGTATAGAGTATAGAGTATAGAGTATAGAGTATAGAGTATAGAGTATAGAGTATAGAGTATAGAGTATAGAGTATAGAGTATAGAGTATAGAGTATAGAGTATAGAGTATAGAGTATAGAGTATAGAGTATAGAGTATAGAGTATAGAGTATAGAGTATAGAGTAGAGAGTATAGAGTATAGAGTATAGAGTATAGAGTATAGAGTATAGAGTATAGAGTATAGAGTATAGAGTATAGAGTATAGAGTATAGAGTATAGAGTATAGAGTATAGAGTATAGAGTATAGAGTATAGAGTATAGAGTATAGAGTATAGAGTATAGAGTATAGAGTATAGAGTATAGAGTATAGAGTATAGAGTATAGAGTATAGAGTATAGAGTATAGAGTATAGAGTATAGAGTATAGAGTATAGAGTATAGAGTATAGAGTATAGAGTATAGAGTATGGAGTATAGAGTGTAGACTGGAAGCTATGTAAGATCTCTGCTCTTTGATCTATATATATGTATATGTACCCTGATATGTCGAGAGTAAATGGAAGTTGGGGATTTGTTGCTTGCGTGCTGGTAGTGAAAAGTTGACAATGGAAATTGCGATAAGCCACTCAACGTGTGGTGGTGGGGCAGGGCACAATCAATGCACCGCTGACCAGCTGACGAATTTGCCGTGCGGCACATTAATGCGACTAATGGGCAAAGTTTTATGCCTGTGCAACACTTGAGGCATTCTCGCCTCAAGTGCCAGCAGCAAGCAGCAAGCAGCGAGCAGCGCGATTCGCTTTAATACGCGCCTCACTTAAAGTGCGACAGGAGTTGCCAATGTTATAAAATTATGCTACGAATCGAGCCGAAAGAGAGCGACGCAGCACGAGTAAGAGACAGAGAGAGACAGATAGAGATAGAGGGACAGAGTGAGAGAGAGAAAGGGAGAGCGGGCGAGCAGGAGTGCGCAGCTTAAGAGAGCGCAAGCGAGTCGCTTATCAGCCAATGGCCCAATGTTGACAATGCTGACCTGTCCAAGACGCAGCAACAGCGGCCCGGAGTTTGTCAGGCTTAAGGATATCTAATGTTTGGGCCTACAACTAGCTGTTCGAGCTGGCATTGTTTGGCGGCAGCCAGCAAAGAGAGAAGAGAAATCGCGGGCGATATGAAATTCGAAAGGTTTTCGCCACCAATCGGCAGCAGCGCTCGGCTCGGCGGCGGTCGGGCCGTTGGCGCGGCTCCTGTCGGCTGCTTGGCCAACGGGACTCGACAGTTGGTTATGAAATCTCAACGTGTTCGCACGTGCCGCACGGAGCACGCAGCAGCAGCCAACCAGCCATCAAATCAAGCAAATATCACAAACTCACAACAGCCGCAATAAACATCAAAACTGTAAACAGAGCAATAAAACAATAAAACAAAAAACCAAACCAAAAAAATGGAAAATAAAAAATAAAATAAAAACAAGAAAAACAGAAATCTAAAAACTAAAATCAAAATCAAAATCAACAAACTACAGAAAAACATCCAAGTTTCACGAACTCATTTCAAACTCAGTGTCTGGAGAATCGTTACAGAAATTCAAAACGCCATCAATCAAATCGCAATCAGCTCAATCAACACGCTGCGTGCACAGTTTATAGAAACAAATATAAACCGAGTTTTCACTTTTCAATTAATCCGTCGGCAATTAAATCATCCCGTTGTTGTTGGTTATTTCTTGTCTCTTGTGTTAGAAGTTAGTTACTTTTTTTTGGATTTTTTTTTTTTTTTTTTTTTTTTTTTGTTGTAAAATATAACAATAAGTGTACTAGATGTGTGAATAAGTCGAAGAGAAATAAGTGAAGCGAACGGCGCCAGAGCCGAAGCCAGAAGTTTGAATTGTCCGCAATTTTCATGTGTGCTAAAATATTTCGGATCTGAGAGATCGCTTCAGACTCGAGTGACGTTCCAAGGCGCGCATCGTAAGTATTTGCTTTGAAGTGATCAAGATGGCAGCATGACGCTGTGCATTATATAATTAACTATTTATTTTAAGCCTAAACAGAGATGTGATGTAGCCTAAATAGGCGCAGAGCAAAGGTGTCTCCGTGCCATGAATCTTTACTGGCAAATGAATCAATTTTTTAATGCTTTTTTTTTAAGTTACAAAATTATTGAATATTAACACTAAAAACAAATTGTGTATAAAGTGTGCTTAAAAAAGTTACAAATGAAGTTTTGATTTTGTTTTATTTTATTTATTTTTTTTTGATTTTGATGAATATGCTTTATGCGACGTCAGCCACGTCCGGTGAGCCGGACTGCTTTACTGCTTACTGTCCAGAGATCTCCTCTTTCTTGGGCTGACAGCAGTCATCCTGCGGTAGCCTTCCAGGTGGACCACTTCTTTGTGCTCTAGCTGAGCGCTGTCTTTCGTGTTCCTATGTCCAGGTCTCACTTTTTCGCGAGCTTACAGACAGACTAGTTTCCTGGCATCTTAACTGTTGCTCTTCTACATAGCATCTACTTTATATATATATATATATATATATATATATATATATATATATATATATATATATATATATATATTGCAGATTTTAGAGCTGTATCTTAGAGTCATGAGAAGCTTGGCTTATTAAAATTAATCTTTGAGTGTGGTTTTTTATAACTCCTTCCTTGAATCTAAAAGCTATTTTAGATTAAAATGTTTCGAGGCGAGCTCAAGAGACAGATGTCAGACTCAGGAAACTATAATATATATATATATATATATATATATATATATATATATATATATATATAAACGGCTTAGTCCAATTAATTTTTTATTTTATCATAAAAGTGCAGCTTAATATCCCAAATATATTTAGTAAAACCATAAAAAATGTTTACTAATAGATTAATTAAATATTTTTTTTTCAAAGAAAAGATAATAATAGGAAAAAAAAATATATAAAATGTATTAAAAATTCAATTATTGTAAATGATATATCCTAAAAGGAAAGTATCCATAAATCAAATATAAAATCTATTTATAAATAATTTTATTACAATTACCATTTTTAAATTGAATTTTATGTATTTATTTATTTTTATTGCATTTATATTTTGATTGTAAATAAATGATTTAAATAATTTTATATTTTGAAAAAAAAATGTATATCAAATTATAGCCATCTCTGCTATTTGCACTGTCCAGTCTCCAAATACGAAATATAAGTTAATTACAAACTAAATTATAGTTGCAACTAAGCAATTCATTATGCAGTTAGTCGCAGCTGCTGGTAATTGTGTTAGAAGTTCGTCTGCCAACATTGTCAGCAGTTGGCGCCGGCAGCAAGCTGCCAGCAAACAGAAATTGAAATGAAAATGGCAAAGAATGTTTGCGATTTGCTGACAAAATGTTAACGTGCGAGAGGAGCGAATTCGGGGTCTGAGTTGGCGGCGGCAATAAATAGTCATATCGATGGCCGGGTCTGCTGGCAGTCAAACAGCAAACGCTGTTAATATGCCCTTTAGTTGTTCCTGGCTGCTGTGGCTGAGGCTGAGGCAAACATCTGCGGCATGTGCTTAAGTTAATTATTATCAATTAATAGCTAATCACGATAAATGTGCATGAAAACGGGGCCAGCAGCGACAGCGATAGCTAAATGGGCCAAGGGTTGGGTGAGTCGTGCGTGGTGTGTTGGTTGCTGCTGTGGCGGTGCGGTGGTGCGGTGGTGCGGCGGTGCGGTGGTGCGGCGGTGGTTGTATGGTCTTGTTTATGCTGGGACGGTTGGCACGCAACAAATGGCCGTGACAGCAATAAGACAAGCTGCCCCGCCAGTATATCCTGTTGATTTGTCACACGCGGCGTATGAACAATGCCGTGGTTGGTAATTAAAAATACGCATACGCACCGTGCGCCAGTCGTCAAGATATACGAGATATACGCGCCGGGAGGACGCACAGAACTAGAGTGAAAACAAAGCCAAGCCAACAAAACACAACACAATGGGTAGCAGAAACTCGAGCGTGTAACAAGTGATTGCGTTTGTCTCACACCCCGCCATATTTATGTCGCACACGCTGTGTGTCTGTGTGTCGGTGTGTGTGCATGTCTGACAGCGTCAGATTGCGTGTTACTGAGCGCGTCTGCCTGCCAGCGATATTGTCGCCACCCACAGAACAATACTCCAGCTCGGCTTAACTCCAATTTTCTTTATGCCATCCAACATTGTTCTCCACAGCTTCGAGTCCGTTTCACCATGTGCCACTTCCTCTGCTACTTCCATTTCCACTTCCACTTCCACATCCTTTTCCACTTCGACTGACAGGTAGTTAAACTTAGCCAGCAGTTTAATTGCATTTGCTCGTTTAGCTCTGAACTCTAATTTCGTTTAGTTACAATTTTGCGTTGAGCTGAGCTGCAAATGCTTCAGCTCTGATTGATTTGCTAAACTCAAACTATATTGGAAGCTTTTCAATATGGTTAAAGCCAAGTTGTTGTCATGTTAACCTAGTTTGACATTAGCTGAACAAGGTTTTGTCTGCTCTGCGAAGCGTTCAGGGTAGTTGCTAGTCGGGCACACTCGATACTTTCACTTATTGTGATGGGCCTAGGGACTCATATTCTCTTCTTGACTTGTCGTTTTGTGTAACATGGAAGCATTTGCTTTGTTAATCAGTTTGATGAACGTTTCCCAGTGTTTTTTGTGTGCTGATTAGTTACAATTCTTATGAAATAATTTCATTAAAATTTTTTAAAACCAACATAATCTAATGTTCCGCAAGCGTTAATCAAATTCGCGTAATACTAGAACATATTTTAAGCCGTTGAGACCTGGTACGAAACACAGCCAAGCCAAGCCAAGCCAAGCCAAGCGAAGCGAAGCCAAGCCAAGCCAAGCCACGCCAAGACATAAGCAATAGCAACAATAAGAACAGTAAGAAAACGGGATTCAGCCCATTCCGTAGGATCTAAGCAATGGCCAACATGTCAATCCTACGGATCAAGCGTGAGCTTAAGGAGGTTATGCGAGGCGACGAGATAATCCAGGGCATGATCAAGATCGAAGTGGTTAACGACAACTGGACGAACTTGCGCGGCGAGATTACGGGACCCAGCGACTCGCCCTACGAGGGCGGCAAGTTTGCGCTGGAGATAAAGGTGCCAGAGACGTATCCGTTCAATCCACCCAAGGTGCGTTTCACGACACGCATCTGGCATCCAAACATTTCGGCTGCATCGGGCGCCATCTGCCGGGACATACTGAAGGACAATTGGGCAGCGGCGATGACGTTGCGCACGGTGCTGCTCTCGCTGCAGGCTCTGCTTTCCGCGGCCCAGCCGGACGATCCGCAGGACGCTTGCATCGCCTACCAGTTCAAGGCCAAGCCCGATGTGTTCCAGCTAACGGCCAAGCACTGGACCAACGTGTATGCTGGCGGGCCGCACGTCTTTCCCGACTGCGACACGAAGGTGCAGTATCTCAAGGAAATGGGTGTAGATGAGCACGAGGCGCGCATAATGCTCTCCAAAGAGAATTGGAATCTGGAGGGTGCCACCGAGCGGCTGTTTCATTGAAACCAAGAGAAACAAAAGACGAACACAAGACCAAAACAATTATAAAGTGGACAAATAGAAATTAAAGTTCGAGATACAGCAGTATAATTTGTATGCTCATCTAACTTTGGACAAGCCCTATAAATTCTAGCCCCCATCAACCCCAATCAATCAATCAATTTTACATCAACGGAATACCCAAATTCCGGTCTAACACATCAACAGCTGTCGCACGAAAAGCTCAACGCAATTTCTATATAACGCAAAGGTTACAATGAATGTTGCAAACTTTTACCCTTTTTGTAGTTTTATACTTTTCCAAATCCTTTTGTTGTGTAATATATATATGATGACATATAATAGTAATATATATATGGGAATATATTTCGTGTTTGTTGCAATAAAAATTTGTAGAAAATTGCGTCAAGTGACTCGAAAATTTGTACTTAAATCTAACTTACAGCTTTCAACTTAAAGCTGCAACTTACAGCTTCAAGCTCACTAGAAGCCGTCCAGCTTACTTAAAGCTCCAACATGCAGCTTCCAGCTTATTTAAAGCTTATACTTTGAAGCTCACTTGAAGCTGGCTTAGAGCAGCCTGAGTTTCCAGGCCACTTAAAGCTCAGTTAAAGCTTAATATATACAACTTTCTTGAATCTCTTTTAAAGTTTAATTATCATATATTCATTCATTTGCTTATAGAGTTCAATTAAACTTTAGCTAAAGCTTAATTAAAGATTTATGGAAGCTTACTTCAAACATACATCATTGTAATAGTTCTTTAACAAATTATGCAAACTTGTTGCACAGCCAAAGCGCACTTCAAGGGCAAGCTTAAAGCTTACTTAAAGCTAACATATTTAGCGCACTCGAAGCACTCTTAAAGCTCATCTAAAGCGTCCGCTCAAGCAGCTTTAAAGTATGTCAATTTAGTTGGACAGTTCTTCAGAAATTATGTCTACAATAATTGTTCAGAAGAAGTGAATGAAATATAAATCAAATAGCTAAATGAGCTTCGCTTTGAGCACAACTTTTGCTAGTTGAAACATTTAATTTACTAATTGAGAATATTCTATCTCCTGGTACCGCTGGTGGGCTGCCTGCCTGGCTGCGTAGCTGGTTGATTGCATTGAGTGTGCAGTCGATGGCTTGAAGACTGTGGCAAATGTTCTATTTTCTTAGCAGATACGACGACGAGCCCTGCTGCAGCTGGGCTGGACTGGAGTGGGACTTAGGCATTGGCGAAAGGAAAACCTGAAAACAATCGCCCTCATTCGCTCCGTTCCGTCAATAAACGACATTTTATTATTTTCTCGACTGTTTGCTGCGCGTTCGCTCTCCGTTTGTGCTTTGCTCAGTCAATGCCCAGCTCCCAGCTCCCAGTTTCCAGTTCCTGCTGCCTGCTGCCTGCTGCCAGCCGTCCCACAGCATTTCGTTTTTTTGTTCTTCCTTTCTTATTTTGTTTTTATCGTTTCACTTACAAAGCGTCGCGCACTTTACGCTGATTGCGCGCTCTCGCAAACATTTTGCTTGCTTTTTGGCCCCCAGACAGGGCACCCGGATCGGTTCGGTTCGTATCTGTGTCCGGGCACGGTCCCAGGTCCGGCCTCGAGTCCGGATCCGGGTCGGGGTCGGGGTCGGGGTCGGGCACGGGCACGGGCTCGCAGTCGGGGTACGCGGCACAGTCAGCTACTGAACTGCCCTTTGTTTTCTGTCCATGCACAGACACACACAGAGCGAGAGGAAGAGGGGGCGGGAGTGGGAGTCCGTGTGGCTTTTGGCTGTGACTATAACTGGATACGATTCGATAGCATTGGGTTTATTGTTACTTCCTTTTGCAATTATCCTTGTTAGTCAGTGCGGCCGTCAGCGCACTCGAATGCCCCATTGCCCCACCAACTCGACGCAACGCAACGCAACGCAACTATCATCATTATCATCAGCTCTCCATATCATCCTCATCCTCATCCTCATGCTCATGCTCATCGTCTGTAGTTACTTTTCCGTCCTCTTCTTGCACTGCTCAAAATTAGGTAACGGCAAATATCTTGCACTGCCGAGTCCCAATGACAATAGGTGCTCCATTAATCAGCTCGCGGCTCTGCTGCGGCTCTGCTGCACCTGCTGCCACTGCCACAGCCACAGCCACAGCCACAGCCACTGCACTTGCAGCATTTGCATTGTTATCGAGATTTATGATTATGAATCAAGCTCTTGCAATTAATTAAGAAATTGAGTAGCTGCCGTGCAGCAAGAGGGCACAATGTAAGTGAAATCAAAAGCAAATGCAATCGAAGGTCTTGAGAAATTGGATGCTTTACTCGATCAACTGAATATATAGAAAGTGGAAAGCTCAGTCAAAATTAAAATTAAATTACGAAAGTTTTCCCTTTTATTGGATTATTATAAAAACAGTCTAGGGGAATAGGTAAACAAATATAGATAAGTAACTTTATTTAGATGACCACGCATCAGCAGCAAATACTATGAGAAAAAGTCGCGCATAGTTCATTAGAGTGGGAAAGGAAGAGGGAGGGAGAGAGAGGGAGGGAGATAATGAGGCGTAGAAGAAAAGTGTGGTAGATGCTGTGGCGTTTAATTAAAAGCGTGCGAGAAATGCAACACTCGAGAGGCGAGAAGCGAGAACAGTGAACTGTAAGCTGGCGAGCGACGTGCAGCAGCTACTTGCAGCGCCCCTTGTGGCAGCGATTTCCATTTGGCAAAGCCAAAACCAAATTAAATTAATTAAATTGCAAGAAAATCTGCGCTGAAGCACGTGGAAACGTGAAAAGCTCACAAGCTCTGTGGCTGCTGTTGCTGCTGCTGCGTCGTCCAAATTAAATCAGCAGAGCAAAGTCAAATTAAGTAAAGTTAGGTAAGGTTAGGTTAGGTTAGGTTAGGTTTGCTTTGAAATCAACGCACAAGGGTGTTGGCGTGAAAAGTGTTGCATGCCCCAGCGCTGCACGCTGCCCGCTGCCCGCTCCACCTTTTTTCTATTATTTTCTTACACTTTGTTGGCTTTATTTCGCTCGCTCTCCCCTTTTTTTCACAGTGTAGCGCCTCGGCGCTGTTCATGCGGTTCGCACTTGACTCAAATCGCGACTCGCTCTCTATTGCCCTCTCGCTTGCACTGCTGCACTTTTTGCAATTAGCGGAATTGTTTCACATTTGCTTTACACCCGCTTTACGCCCGCACCTTCTAACTGGACGTCGAAGTCGAACCTTGCCTGCAGTTTATCTGCGGTTGTCACTATCCTGTCGCTGTTCCGCCCTCTCCCCCGCGCCCAGCCTCCCTCTCTCTCTCTCTAGTGGCTGTCTTTCGTTTTTAGCTTGGTTTGTCGCTCGGTTGAGCTTGTCTCCTCCTCCCTCCACACGCCCTCCGCCTTCCCTCTCGCTTATTGTCTGCCTGCTTGGCTGTCTCTTTCTGGCTTTCCTGTGTGTTGCTGCTGCTTGTGTCCAGCATTTGGCGCCCAGGGGAAGTGCGCTAAATCTTTTAAAATACATCTAAAAACCGCGTGGTACTCGCACACACACTCACACACACTCGCACACACAAAAGACAAACAGCTTTATGCACTTCACTTGTATTTGGCTTGATGCTTTCGCTCTGCCTGTGTCCTTCTCTGGTCGAGCATCCTTGCTATCGTTACGTTCCAGCTGCTCGCCATCCTGGCGCTCCGACGTTTCGGTGCACTCATGTGCATTTTAGTGGTAACCCAGTTTTCGTTTTTAGGTGCTTAAAAGGTTTCCCCATTTGAATGCTGTTTGGCTTTGTGTGGGCGACAAACAGCCAAAAGTGACAAGGCGAACGGGGGGCGACTCCGCCTGCTCTCTGTATGTGTGTCTCTCTGTCTGTCCGTGTGTCTGTCTGTCTGTGTGTGTGGTTGGGCAGTGGACGGATGCGACTGCGGACGCAGACACACGGCAGATAATAGATCTGACAGAGCAGAGTTTTAAATCGCAGCTGCCTGCACAATTTACTTATGTAAGCTCATTTTCAGCAATTCGGTTAGTTAGAAGACATAAAACTAAGCCGTCGCAGAGCAGAACGCAAAAAAATGGAAGAAAACTGAAAATACTTTTGCGGAAAATGGGGAAATTTTTAGCCGCTAACGAGGCAGCTGGCGGCAGACAACAGGAGGCAGCCGTTTCCTGGCCAGAAATGACATCCTCATCCTCATCTTCATCTTCATCTTCGTGCTCAAGCCCATGCCCATGGCCATGGCCTTGCCCATACTCATACCCATACACAGTCCTAAACCTATTCCTGTTCTCCATGTTATCCTGCTGCGGCTGCTGCTGCTGCTGCTGCCGCTGCTGCTCTCTGCTCAAACGAGTTATGCGCATTTGCCCGCGAGCCAAGAGATTTGTGCTGCTCAGTTTTTTCCCATATATACACATATATATATTTTGGTCTGGCCTGGCTTTGCTGGTTTCCTTCTGTTTGGCTGCTCGTCTGCTTCTTCTTGCTTTCGCTTTGGCTTCATTTCTTTTCCGTTGCCAGGCATAAGCAATTCACAGCGAAATTTGGCGGCGCAGGTATCCTGTATTAGCTGAAAAACCTCAAGGCGTACGTCATTTTGTTTACACGAAATCAGCCAAGTGGAGACAAGTGCTGATGCCAGCCAGCGAGAGCAAATGCCAGATGTGCCCGAAGATGTCTGCCTGAAGATTGCTCCCAATGCCGTTGACAGCCAAAGCGAATGCCTTTAAAAATCTTGCCAACATTACGGCTTTGCATTTGCATAATTATTATTGCAGATGTATCTCCCACTCTCTCTCACTCTCTCTCTCTCTCTCTCTCTCTCTCTCTCTTTCGCTCTCTGTGTATGTGTGTGTGTGTGCTTATGTTAGGCCATCGAAAGTATTTTGAAAGCAACATTTTGCATTTCATTTGCATTTTAACCAAAGACAACCAGCTGATAAGTGCCAATATAGCCAGACGCCAAGCGTTTAGACGGCTCAACAGCGAGGCATACGCAGCGCAGGCAAATCAAATGATTTCGTTATGCATTGGGCATATGCTATATGGCAGATG